TGCCTTAGGACAGATTCTTGTGTCTAACCTGCTGTCCACTAACTGAAGACTCTAGGATATTCATGCCAGAAAACCTGTTGAAAATTTAAGACAGAGTAGAAGAAGACTTACATTACAGTCCGATGATAAGGAAATACGAATTGGTAGCTCAGCTAAAACCCAGCTCTGACACAGTGGTATTCTTTCCCTTTTATTTTTCACTTCACTTTATGTTGCTTATAATATTCTGTTTGCCTTCATATTTAATTTGTGCTGTTTCTCAGTCCGTGTGCATACAGTTACTGGTACTGATACAGAATCTGGAGTAAATGTGGTAAATGGACTGTATTTATATTGAACTTTTCCAGTCTTATCGACCTCTCAAAGCACTTTCCAGAACAAGTGCATCCACCTATTCTCACTCACACTCACACTCACACACACACACACACACACACACCTCTTTCTATAAAATACCATTGACACACTGTCGTCAACCTCCTGAGTTAAAAGTTGTTGCTCTGGTGCCGTCCCACCTCATCAGACTGCACAGTCCCAGATTAATTTGACAAAGTGCTTGTGGGTAATTTAGCTGTTCCGTTCTTATTGGCAGTGTGGCAGACGCTTCATTTAACACCATATATCAGCTTTCTCTCCCACGATTCACACTTTGATTTAGAAAGTGAAGGGAAGAAAAAGAAAGGGTCAAAGTAAGAAAGTGAATATTTTGTGGTCTGGTCATATAGGCAATGTTGTACTAAAAAAAATTATGCAAAATATTGGCAAGGTTATGTCTTTGGTATAAAGACAAAATCAAAAGCATTCAACAATGGCGAGTGTAGCCAAGGAAGTATGGGTATTGAGACACAGCGCTGCAGTTTGTGTTAGAGCTGACCGTGACCTCTGACCTCTCTGAGGAGGGAGGAACCAGGCGGGGCTGATTTGTTTGTATCAATCACAGCATCTCAGACAGCAAAGACATGAACACACACGCACACACTCACCTTTTCTGTGTGCGTTGTTTTTCAGAGCGGCAGAATCATGCCCGAGAGCTGGTGAGAGAGGCCGACCTGTCGCAGTGGAACGCTGTAGTCATCATGTCAGGAGATGGACTCCTGTACGAGGTAAAGAAACAAAACAATGAACATCAGCAGAAGTTTCATCCTCAATAAATTCATAAGTCTTGAAATCACGAACTGATCTGATAACCATGTCCATAAACAGCATGTATTGTGGGTATTATAAGTACTGATTTTACACACCACATCTATAAGTATATACCTGAATGATTAAGTCGTATAAATAGAGGTGAAATAATGAATACACTTGAATGACACTCTGTTTGGGTGATGCCCCACCACTGAGGAAAAGTAACCCATGTAGTAAGTGATTCACTGAAGATGTTACTTTTGTATTTGAAACCTGTGACAGGTATGTAATGTCAGATGTTGCTCTAAACACAAACAGCCACACAAGCAGACTTTTAAAGAAAAAACCCAAGTCTCAAATTGTCACAAATGATTTGAATTGAAGGCAAAGAATAGGAAATTATATAAAACAATTTGAAGATCACATAGCAATGATTCATAATGAAAATGTAACAGATAAGACCAGAACTAGGAGAAAGTAGACTACAAATGTGTCTTAAAGAGAGAGGTAAAAGAGCATAAGGAGTTGGACAGCTCTTAAAGGTAGGAGCCCTGACTGAAAATGCCCTTTGGTCCTCAGCCGGGACTGTGGAATGGTGAGCAGGGCCTTCACTGAGGACCTCGGGTTACCACAGAAAAACATATGGTGTCAAAAGATCAGAAATGTTCTGAGTGCAAGTCCACATTGAGCCTTAAAAGTTAGCAATAAAATCAGTTTTTAAAACTACTGGAAGCTGGTGAAGAGAAGCTAAAATGTTAGTCTGGCTGCTGACTGTAAATAAGTATACATGACCATGAATTTCACCGGCTCTCACTACTTGTCAGTCTTTGTTACTCTCCATGAAAACTCTTAGTTCAATAGCATAAAGCTATTGATGTTGGATACCCAGCATGCTGTGTGACAGTTTCTTCAGTCAGTGTTTGCCTCATCAAATCTATCTTTCGTGTGTGTCAGGTGATAAATGGTTTGCTGGAGAGAGCAGACTGGGAGGAGGCCATTCAGACACCGCTGGGTTTCCTTCCTGGTGGATCAGGCAACGCCTTGGCTGCATCCATACATCACTACTCAGGGTGAGCTAATGCAGAAAACCAAAACATCAGCTCTCTGTTCGTATCGGTCACCTTTAGCTAGGAGGACCCAAACGCAGGTGACAGGAGCTGAGGCTGGTGAAGGTAAATCAAATGAGAAAAGAAATAAAACACTCACTGGAGGCAGGACAACAGAACATGAGGAGACTCCTTGTTTAAACTGACAAACAGGAAGGAAACACACATGGTGCAGGTAATATAGGAAGCAGGACACAAGAGGAAGTGACCTAAAAGGAGAGTTTCAAAATAAAACAGGATATTACACAGCATGAGGGATAACAAGAAGGAAATTAAATTGACTCACAATTGATTTCCTAGGGACTTACTCAGTGGGTAAGATTTAGGTGAAAGGGATCAATAGGCAGAAATTGAATATAAAATTATCCTGTGTGTTTCATCTAAATTCTAAGTAAAGTTTTCTTTACCCCAGAAAAGACCCTTTATATTTAAATACTTTATATTTACATCGAGGGGTCCTCTCTACGGAGGCTGCCATGCTTCTTACATTAGTCCAGACTGGACAAATTAAACACCTTTTGAGTTTTTATGACAACTTAAGGCTACCACAGACTCTCTCATGTTTTGAAGAGGAGGTTGAGGTGAGGGGTGTTCAGCTGCAACATGAGACTTCACCACTAGATACCACTAAATTCTACACACTGAACCTTTAACCAGTCTCTACTTGTCGTATCCTAAATCATCAAAACCTTAAAACATGTCTTCACCTTAAAATCTAATGCTTTTTGACCTCATAAGGATGACAAGTCCTCATAAACACACACATACACACACACTTCTCTGACTAGGTGAGGTAACATCTGATGTAGTGTAGAAGAGCTTTAATGATGAATTGTTCAACAGAAAATTAATCAGCAACTACTTTGATGATCAATCAATTGAAAAAAAAGGCTGCCTCTAAACAATTTCGTTCTCTCACTCAATAGTAAAGTTGAATATCTCTGGGTTATGGACTGATAGTAGAATAAGACAAGACTTGACTTTTCATCTTCTACAGAATTAGTGCCTAAAAGTTAATATGAAAATAGAACTGAGAATAAGTTGCTGTGCTGTTAAATCCTGGGGCCAGCTTCACACAGAGCTGATGAGTTACATTGTAATTGAGAAAAAAATCACACGTAGTTTCTTTAAAGATCATTGTCGATACAGTGTTGTGTCTGAGCCTCACACACACACACACACACACACACACACACACATACACACAGACAGCCCTGCTTCCTGCTGCTATTCTGAATGAATTATTAATGATTTGCTAATTTCAGTGACTGTTTGCAGTTCGTTCAGTCAGATCAAAGGACAGACAGGAGAAGTTGAAGGACTGAAAGAAAAGAGGAAAGAGCATATGAATGAAAGAACTAAAGCAGAGTGATGGGTCCTTTCACAGCAGAAACCTTGAAATAAAGGAGAAAAGAAAAGAACGTTTCTCAGTTTTTGATTTTTTTCTCAGTGGAATTCTTGATTTAATCAAGGTTAATTTAAATAATGGAATGATGAAATGAAGGAAAAAACCATGTTCAATCACCCCTTTTAGTACATCTGCCAATCAGCTTCTCATCAAACAATGGTCGTCCACCCAGAGCGGCAGCGACAATGAGAGGAAGAGACCAGACTCTCTATTGTTTACTCTCCTCTCACACTCCCTGGGCATCCAGAAAACATCTCTCTCTCTCTCTCTCTCTCTGTGTGTGTGTGTGTGTGTGTGTGTGTGTGTGGTTGGTCCTGGCTGTCCTGCAGTGGCCCTGGCCAGAGTGTGTTTGGTATTATTCCCAGCTGAATGAGGGGTTCACCGAGGCTACGTGGATCAAACAAGTGACAGCTAGAATGTATCTGTTATTATGTAATGCAGTGAACAGGTTCGCTGAGTGAGGCTGTAACGTGTTTACGTACACAAACATAATGAGCAGGAGCTGAAACATCGTCTGTGAAGCTGAGCGCTCTCTGAAGTGACAGGTGTGACTGAGTCTCCCTCACCTGGTGGTTTATGGAAATAAATGGATAGAATCTGTAACAGTAACAAGCTTTTCGATGATTAACTTTCTTGGTCTCTGTGTCCGAGACAGGCTTTTCATGGAGAGAAAAAACAAAGCCTATCGAGCTCTGACTCTAGCCCGACTCACAGAACTGAAACTCAACCCAACGGTGGATATTCCTGAACTCAAAGAGCTGCTGCAGTAACAAATACACCAAACCCTGTCTAGAATTCTTGATATTTTAAAGGTTTCCTGAATATTGGAGATACATTTTTTTTTTGTGAGTTCTTTTTAAGTGATCTACACTTCAGCATGACTCTTGAACTTGTTTGGCCTTGTCCGTTACTGAGAAAGACAGTTACACACTTCTAGTCGGAGATCAAACCTAATCCCCAAAGTTACATTGTGAAAAAACAGGTGTGTGTTTTGTCTGGTGACGAATGCGGTTTCTTGCTGCAAGTAGGTGGTGATGACGGTCAGTTGTGAACAGCTTCAGCCATTTAAGACGAAGAAGTCTTGAAAAGGTATCATATGTTTGTGTTATGGATAATATTAAACCTAAATGATGATACAGACAAACTAAACTATGAGTGGAGGACTTATTACCTGTTGACCTTCTAACTAGTGGATGATTAAAAGAGAGAGCAGTGGGAATGTAGATGAGAGTTTTTGTGTCCAGACGGCTGAATTCATCCAGGATAATGAATATGGAGATATCTGCAGGGCCACAGCCACTCAACTCCACTGAGACATCCAGTCATCACTGTAATTGGTTGTGGGTGGTAACAGCAGGCAAGTGTGTGTGTGTGTGTGTGTGTGTGTGTGTGTGTGTGTGTGTGTGTGTGTGTGTGTGTGTATGTGTGTGTGAGATCGTGACCCTCCACCCTTGTCTCCGTTCTNTGTGTGTGTGAGATCGTGACCCTCCACCCTTGTCTCCGTTCTCCCAGATGGGGTTGTCTTTGTTGTCTGACTGACCTGTCATGTCTGAGGGCCCGTAAGCTAATTGTGTCCCACCTCCATCCAGGTTTGGAGGCTCGGCCCCTTTGACTCACCCCACCCCCGGTAGCACGGGGCTCCACCCATCTCATCCACTTCCTCTCTTTCCTCTCTTTTCATATAGTTACACTATAAGGTCACAGTTACCCCAGTGTTGTGTAAAACTCACCCCCCAAAACACACACAGACCTCAACCCACTTCCTAACCCAAACATATTAAGTGCACCTTCCTGTTTTCATTTTGATCTGCAGCTTATTTTTGGATCTGGGTTTTTAACCGTCTCCTTCTGCAGTGCTTCTGTACGGCTTCTAGTATGTGATTACTTCTCTTAATCCAATTTGGGTTTGACAGAATATAAAGACATCAAGTTACACTATGAGATGTTGTGATGAGCATTTTTCTCTATTTTATCTGACATTTATATCATCTGATTTATCTGATTAGCTCATCTGATTATTAATGAATCATTAATTGCTGCACTGCATCTATCTCTGCTGACTACATGAACAGACCATGGTCCATTTAAGACCATGGACCATGGAGCCTTAAAGACAAGCTACTTTAAAATATAGAGGCTTTAAATATAAAAACAAATCTTCGTGTAGCTACTCATTACTACTCAGCTGTACTGTTTCTTTCTTACTTTTTTTGATGCCCTCAATAAACATATTGACTGATACATTTTAAAACAAACTTTTCCCATTTAATATGCTTTGCCGAACTCCTCCTGTGTCCCTGTTAAATAATGAAAAAATTAAATCTGGTTTAAATTTGGATGAGTTTCCTCATATAGCACGAAAAATATGTCATCAAAGAATAAACAGTCTGACCAGCAGTTAGAATTGTAATTCATCCATTAATTTGAACCATATTTTTGTTGACCTTTGACCTTGACACTCACACATTAACTCTCCTCTCTTCTCCTACAGAGCCTCCCCAGTCTTCAGTGAGGAGCTCCTGATCAGCTGTGGCTTCCTGCTCTGTAAAGGACTGCTGTCTCGTATGGACCTGGTGTCCGTCCAGCTCTCCTCTGGCCCTCGTCTCTTCTCCTTCCTCTCTCTGGCCTGGGGATTCGTAGCGGACGTGGACATAGAGAGCGAAAAGTACCGTCACGTTGGTTCTGCCAGGTTCACTGTGGGCACACTGGTGAGGCTGGCTTCTCTCCGCATCTACAAAGGTAAGCTGGCTTACCTGCCCGCCTCCAAGGACTGCAATACAGAGGGAGGTTTGAGAAACAACATGACGAAGCAATGCAACAATCAGGCTTCCTCTCTGAGTCCAGCCTCTCTGCTGCACAGTCACTCTAGTGACTCTCCCTGCCAGAACACCCTCCACAACTCCTGCCACTCCAACAACTCCCTCAAAGTGCGGAGGGCGGAGAGCACGCCCCCCAGAAGCGTCACCAAAGGTCTCCCCGGCCCACCTGACTCCCTGCTGCTGCCCTTAGACCAGCCGCTGCCCAGTGACTGGGTGGTGGTCCAGGAGGAAGACTTTGTCCTCATGCTGGCCATGTACCAGTCCCACCTGGCAGAGGACCTGATGGCAGCACCGAACGCCACCTTGGACGACGGCGTCATCCATCTAACCTACGTAAAAGCGGGAATATCACGCAGTGCTCTGCTGAGGCTCTTCATAGCTATGGAGAAGGGCGCACATCTAACGACTAACTGTCATCACCTGGTGCACACGGAGGTGCAGGCACTCAGGCTGGAGCCGTATTCACCCAAAGGAATAATAACAGTAGATGGAGAAGTGGTGGAGTATGGGCCGGTACAAGCTGAAGTGCATAGAGGTCTAGCAAGATTAATCACTGGATGAATGGAAGAAACAAACACCACCAGCTCTTATCTTTGATATTAAAGGCTGATGATGTTTGATATATCATTTTTTACCATTTCAAATCAGAAATGGAAAAAATGCAGGAGCAAAACGATGGATGTAACACTCACTCACTTTTATCCGCAAAGTTCTCTCTCAGCGGTACACAGAAAACCGGTACATTGTTTTTTTAAGAAAATGCTTTGACATTGGATGTGATATTACAACAAACACCTATACGTTTTTTTCAAAAATAAGTTTGAATTTTACAGCGAACCTATTTCTCCCAGTCTTCATCTGTCAAGACCATAGGCCGTAAATAAAGATGGAGGAAGCCTCCACTTAAGTGAAGAAAAATACTTGACGTGTACCTTGACTTTCTGGATTGACAGAATGAAATCCTTCAAAGGCCCAATACTTGAAAAGAAATAGAAAACACTGCACAATACTGTTACTGTTACAATACTTTTATTGTGTAAAGAAAGAGTAAGATTATTTCACTATTTAATTAAAATGTTTTATTTAATTTTAAACACTTTGGGGTCTCCATAGCGACAGTTGAGCGTACTGTCGTCACAGACACAAACACGTATCATCGTCATCACGATGAAGTGTTTCTCCTCCACAGTAATAAATCCAGCCATTTCTTTATCCTCCAGTTTCTCCTGTTTGGTGAGCGTGAGGTTTCTTCTGTCCGGAATCTCACATATCAACTTGAATTGCAGCAACAGAGAAGGATTGAATTTATACCTGCATAGCTCCTCTGCACTGTGATGGAGACCATGTTTTTGTGTGTGTGTAGTTATTGTGAGGTAGTGCAGATGTCATCAGGGAGTCGTTACCCTGGTTTGAACTGAGGTGATCAGGCATTGTGACTGTTTCTGTGACGATGGTGCTGCTGAGTCATGTGGAGGAAGGTGAAAAGAGCAAATGGCATCATATATCATAAAATATAACTATTTATATTTTATTACTTTTAATTTATTTCTTCATATTAAGACTGTATGAGATGGTCTCAGCACCAACTGACACAGGTTCAGATTTGTTGCCTTAAAAGCTGTGTTCAGGAAGCATCCTTCGAAGGCTGAACTGAAATCTTGAAGGATTTATTTTTTGCATCACCAGCTTCTTCCACCCTGACTGTTGCACTGTGAGCAACATTAAGCTGCTGCAGCTCGACCACCACAAAGCTATCATGGTCACTGACGCACAATGATTCCTGGGAGGGTTTGGCTCTTTAGTTAGGTGGGAATGGAAGGATGTGTTTGAAGGAGTCTTTAAAATGATACAGCCTGTACGAGATCTGGATTCACAGCTTTAGTCGTGTTAGCTTTGTTCTTGTTTCATAAACAAACCACAGCGACAGATCAGATTTGTATGTGTCAGACCAACTCTATATTTCCATTTCCTTCTGAGGTCTAAAGTCTCCAGAGTGCTGCACAAACACAGGCGCAGTGAAACAAATGTGACCAGTGAAATGGGTCAGATCATCATCAAAATACCTTTGACCACCTCACTGGAGATTGGGACAGACGTCTCACAGCCAGATATCAAAGCTGCTTGAATGAAACCAAAACTATATGACTTGATAACTCAAGAGGAAAAAGAAAGAAGTGGGTGAAGTGACCCTGTAATTCAGCTTCTCATTGTAATCACATGGTTCAGTTTTACACCAGCAACAACTTCATGGGCACGAATGTAAGAAATCACTGAAGTGAAGTCGACACAAACAAGAAAGTGATGCTCTGAACGAGGACGAGCTGAACGTCACTGACTGATGATGTGATCGTGATCAGGTGGCGGCAGCTCTGGTCCTGGTCTGGTGAATGATTACTGCCTTGACGTGCTCCTCCCTCCATACCACTCTTCTTCTTATTCTTCCTCTGCTGCTTTCCTCCATCCATCATCCGTCTCTCATCTGCTGCTTTAAGAGCACTGCAGTGCTCTGCAGAGCAGTCGCACCACCCCGGTGTGTTTCTGTCTGTCCCCGGCTGCTGTTCAGACACACAAACACACAGAGGCTCTCCCTTCGTTGATGATCATCACCAAGGTGTCCTTAACATTGAGCTTTACACATGGAGGAACTGATGACTACGATTTAAAAGCAAAGACAGATTTTTACATGAAATCATTTAGGAGCTTGAAGAAAAGAGGAGAACCAAGGGATTCACACTGTAGCAGCACCTGTACCATTAGGGAATCTGACGTAAAATAATCATTTCTTGATGGAAATGATCGCTGTGACTTTCCATGTGCACAGTTAGAGAGGAGAAGCCTAAACGACTGCAGTAAAAATGCAAAGATTTTCATGTCTCATGTTTTTATGCCATGACTACGTTTGACACTGTTAAGAACAGAATAATAAAAAGACCAAAACTTATTTTCTTCTTTTAATATATTTTCCTTGATATGTTTGCACAGTGTAAGTTTGTCACAGGTGCCAACGACACCAAGGTCCTTGAACCGATTAACTAGTTTAGCTTTAATCACGTTTACTCATGACAACAGCCGAGGATGTGCAAGCAAACGAGATGGAGACATTACTTGAAAACATGCTTGTTACACGTTGCTGTCGTATTAGAGGACAAATATGGTTTGTAGCAAACAAAAGCTGTAAGTTTCTCCTGCTGTGATTTTTACATATGAAAAAAATAGGACCATATTTTTATTTTTCATGTAAACCACAGAGTGCTACAGACCATTTTCATCACCACCTTTTCTTTTAGTCTGTGCAAAGATTTCAGTTTGGTCTCTGTTAACTGTTTGATGTGCCTTGACTGTGATGCCTCCTGGTGGTTTGAACACAGTGGTGCGCTCACTGATTCATCAAGTGCAACCAGCTCATTAGTTTTCCCACCACCATTTTTTAAAAACTCTGAGATGGAGGAGACAAGAGTTGAGTGAATAGAAAGTGTCTGTCGTCAGGTCAGATAATAATTGCAACTCATCAGTAAAGTCTGTGCAGACCTTGAAATCTTGAAAGTGTGGCTTCTGTGTGATTGACAGTCAGGTCGTCCCACTTTCATCAAACTAATAAAAGATGAGATGATGAACGTTGTTCTGCCCAAACACACGAGACGCACTCACTTTGTCTGGCTGTTGATTTGTTGTTTGTCTTTACCTGCTGCATTTTGACTGTTGTTGTCGTTTTGTGTTGCATTTTTATGGGGAAGGGAAGAATTGGTTTTTTTCTTGCACACTGAATAGTGAATGATTCTTTATTCAAAGAGAGATCTAGTTTTCCATTTTGACAAATGTCTGTAATTTTCGATCATCGAATCGAACTTTCTGCTGGAGTGTTCTTGATTAAAAAAACTAAATAAACAATGACAAACAAACCTGAGTGGGATTCAATTCATGAAGCTGAGTTATTTTATCTTTTTTAGGATTTGAGGCTTTTTGTTGACAGTTTATGATCATTTATCTCCAAATGTTCAACTCACTGAACCTGTTGCTGGTCTAATCATTCCCATAAGTTCACACATATCTAAATTTAGTAGACTTGATCCTTTGACATGCTGCAAAGACAAAATCAATTATTTTAGGCCAAACGCAGGATAATCATTCAATGGACTAAAAAGACCATAAACCAATTTAAGTTTTGAGAGCATTTTTTCTTCAGTTAATTGTGAACCTGGGTTAAAAAGAGACAATATGCATAAAACTAGATTCACTTTAAAACAGCGTTTGTCTGGTGTTAAACATAAAAAACTGTTTAAATAACTTCACTGTTGTCTTGTTACAGAATGACAGAGGAAAATGAAACAAATATCTGATTAGACTTATTAGTCTCTAAAGGTGGCTGATTCCCCTCCCCAACAAGATCCCTGAATTATTTCCTCCAGTGCAGAAAACCAAACCTTGGTGTATATGTAAATATGTTTAAGGCACATTTCCTTGAAAAACAGCTGAGAAGTTTATTTTAAATTTTTCACATGTTAATGAAATCTAAGTAAAAGATGGATTTGCTGGGAACTATTTTCATCTGTGGATTAACACATATTTGGTGCTCTAGTGAGAACATCAGGTTTTGGCTCCAGAGATATTTGTTCATACGTTGGATTCAGTTTTGGGTTTAGTGTTTTCAAGGGGTTTACTGACAATGAGAAAAATATATTATTACTTTTCATTATTGTGAGGAAAACCTGCCGTCTATACAGGAACTGAATGAGATCATCAATTAAAAAAAAAGAAAAAAAAAGAGCCACAATGTCTCTATGGTGCTGCTTGCAAAGTTTAATACATCACTATACAGTTGTTTAACTCAACAAAATGAAACCATTAAAAAATGAAAGAAATCATAAGTACAATACATACTCAGCATTTTGTACATATATGCCCCAAGCATCCACGTGACTTGTTAGAACCCAAGTTTGTGTTAAATATATATACTGTATGTATTTATATATTTCAATATAATCATGACGTCTGTACAGAGGGAATCAGGCTACAAATCTTCTTTTCTATATATATCAATAACAGGCCACTGTGGAAATGTAGACATCGTACAGTCAAGTCTTGTGTGTGTAGCCCATTCAAAAGGCTTAAAGCAACATGTTACATGCTTTGGCTGTAAAACAAAGTTCTCGCAGTAATAATAATAATAATGATATTCTTAATAATAATAGTTTAATTCTGAATAATATACACACATACACAGAAAATTGTACATAGCATCATGTGCTTGATATCTTGTCGGATTTTTTGCTTTTCGAGATCTCGCGCAATAGCTTGACATTTTTCTCTCTGTGTGAAAGTTGATGAATGAAAGAGTGAAAGACTGAGCAGTAACGTCACCTCTACATTCCTGGAGGAGTGAAGTGGGTTTTTTTTTTTTGGTTTTTTTTCCCAGAACAGCGTCACTGCAGCTCTTAGTTTCTACCCGAGCTCTGACCAGTGACAACACTTTTCTCTGAGAATTGTGAAGGTGACGTTTTACAAACAGCAGCGTGTGTGTGTGTGTGTGTGTGTGTGTAGAGAAAAAACAGAGGAAAGCAAACAGGGCTACATGCTACAGCAGCCAGTGAAGACGGCGACACATCCTCCCTCTGTAGCGTTAAAGGCAGCGGAGAAACAACGATGGTGAAGTAAAATCTAGGAAGAGGACAAAATGTCATGGATGCCCGATTGCCACATCTGATACAGGAATACCAATGCTCAGAGAGGAAAGGAGAAAAAATAAATGGAAGACAAAGCAAAACAAATGAACCATCTTTTTTTTTTTTATTTGTTAAACGCAGCAACTCTTGGCTCATAGTTTTCATCCTCTCCCATCACTCACAGCTTCAAAAGAGCACAGTGTGCCCGCTCATTCAGAAACACTCTTCAGCATCAAGCTTCTTAGTTCAAGTAAATCGCAGACAGCCACTGCTCTCGTTTATTTCACAAATTCTAGCAAGCGAGGGTTCGTCCGACCCATTTCATATTAACAATCAAATTCTAATGACAACCACAGAAAGTTATAATATCTTCAAAGAAAAGAACAGTTTGTCAGGAGGTGGGATGCAGTTATTTAAATAGATGTAAACAGAGACTGTTCTGATTTCCGCAGGAAGCACGACCCAAAGTTGAGTTTGACTGTAATCACACTAAATAACGAGTTATGTGTTGACTTAAATAAAAGGCTAATTTTCCATCCAGATCTAATGAGTGCAATATATGGAGAGAAAAGCAGATGACAAACAGTCAGGTCAGCAAACGTTTTGCCTTCGCGCTGAAATTATTGTCGTTGTCTAAAAAAAAATCAAGCAGATCAATTATGATATCAACAAAACCTTCAGCATCACACTGTCTGAGGTGTGTATCCTGATGTCATTAAACTCTGCACGTGCAATCTGAAGAGGAACATCAGAATAGAGCGACGGCCGCTTGTGTTGAAGAAACTAATCAGAGATCTGCACTTTTAAAGGAGGAAAACACTGGAGCAGGGTTTTAGTGGTTTTTACTGTGTCTCTGTAGGTTAATGCCTAAACTATGACACAAGCAGCTCTGTACACAATGGTTTGAGATCATTAAGAACATTTCAAGTAAGGCAACATGTTGACATGAGATGACGGAATGCACGCTGAATGTTTCTTTTTATTTTTTATTTATTCTTTAAATTGCGTCATTTGCAGTGACATCACCTTTGTAACAAAGAAGAGGAGCATCATGGGTAAAGCCCCACTCTGAAACAGTCCAGCCTCTGAGTGTAACAGCCTTGAACATATCGAAACACTAAAGCACAAGTTCCAACTTAGTGAACATCTTTGCTTGATCCTACAGGAAGTAGATGTTACTGTATAATGAGGCGGCAGCTGAGCTGAAGGGGAATTGTAGTTTGGAATTTTCTAACCTGGGCTCTATGTTTATAAATGTGAGTGTGTAGATTAATGCTACATGCCAAACATTTTGGAATCAGTCCAGTAGATCGTCTCTGCTGGCAGCTGCAACAGTGGCTACAATATAGCCTTATGGGGCAAATGCGACAATTCCATAAATGTCCTCTTTAAGTTCTTTTATTTATTTTTTTTTTTTTACCAATATAGTCTGGCAACATTAAACATCTCACTCAATGAGAAGTCTCACTCACTGTGCAGCAGCTCATTGTTCCTCCTCTTGATACAAGACTTAAGTGAGTCTCACTCCAAGTCACGTGAGACTTGGGTTGCTGAAGGAAGACAGAGGTGGAAACGTGAGTAAGAGGGAGAGTTGGAGGGATGAGTTTGGATTTTACAGGGGTAAGCTATTATGACTGAATCTATTTCTGATGAAGCCTTTGTGTCTTAGATGGTCGTCTCTATTTGTTTGAGCTGGAGAGCGAGGACAAAGAGATCCTGCTAATTGAAGAGCAGGTGGAGGGAGAGAGGCAACATAAAGAGACGGGACAACGCGCTGCCGGACGGTTGAGTGAGACTTCCATGTGTACTGACATGTGTAAGGTTACCGCACTCTTCGCAAATACCCTTTAATTAGTGAGAAAAGAAAATCACTTTCAGTGAACATTTTGTGGACTGTCGCAGTTGCCCCATAGGGTTACATTACAGCTACTGCTGCTGTGACGTGACAGCTGGCCAAATACTGGACCGATTCTAAAACTTTTGCAAATACCGCTCATTTAAACAACCACATCTATCAACATAGGGCTCAGGTTGAAAAATACGGGGATTCCCCTTCAAGCTTTAACTAGAGCACAAACACTTTCACATGCAGCCACCTCACTGTCGCCCTGCACCTGACTGGCTCCTCTACACACCAGCTGCAGCAGTCTGACCTCCAGAATGATTCGTATGTAAACTTTGTCACTTGACGTCCGCTGCGTGGTTGTGTTTGTGAGTGATTGGCGAAGGAAAATACCAGCAAGTGTGGTGGACGAAGTGGTGACGTTGTTGTGGTTGGCAGTTTTACTGACATTCAGTACGTTCTACTTGAATACGTGTGCGTGTGTGTGTGAATGGAGAAATTTGGCAGAAAGCGTACAACCAGTGAAATCTACTCAAAAAAAGGAACCCTCTCGGTCAGTGTATTTATACGTCACCTCTTCCACACCAGATTGTCCGTTTGTTGTAGTGCAGGATGGTTCAGTAATAATATCAGTAGTGCTACAGAGAGCCGCAGTGAGCCCAACAGCCAGGAGAGCTGGGATTTGCAGTTTTTCAGTGCAACCCAGCCGTTCACCAGTCCGCTTTATATTTTCCAGGCTGAGTGGTTATCCGTCAAGTCCCAACCCATATGGTGGGTGCTTGGCAGAGGCTTGGTGAATGAGGGGGGGTGGCAGAGGGTTCATGGCACTGATATTCCATCTCATTTTGTCCATTTTGTATCCACACCACTGCCACTGAAGTCCACTGAGGCTGAGAGAAACTTTGATCGCCTCCAGTAAAAGCTCTGTGTTTTTACCTGCGTCCATGAAAAGATGAGGGCTTCTATGAGACAGGGTAGGTCCACCCATCTTTTATCCATCACACTCATCTGCAGGGACACTGACAGAAAACAAACACATTTTCATCAAGTTGCAACCAAACCAGAATTTGCTCAATCTCCTGATCAAAGATGCTCCCCTCCTGCAGTCGCGGTGCGATCGAGAGGGTTTATGGGGGAAAAAAAGGTTCAACGTTGTGGAGTTGGGGCAGCAGGAGCAAGACAGACTTAGAAATGGAGGTCAAAAATGTAGGCAGTGCTGGGGGCACAGTGCAGCTCTGGACAGGAGTACAGGAGATTGAAAATTGTAAACTCCCCCCAGAGAAGTAATGGATCCTCCTCTACAGCTTGAGGCAGATGAAAAGTTAGAAGAGACGGAGGAGGAAAAGAGCAGGAAGCAGTGCAGAGGGGTGTCGGGGAAGGGCGAGGAGGCACTTACTTGTCCTCTGTGTGCTCAGGGACGCCGGCAGCGACCATCGCAGCTCGGTACTGCAGCAGCACACCTCGGACGCTCTTAACAAACCCCTTAGAGAGCGGGAAGAGTGGAAAGCCGATGTCTGGGTAGCCGCTGCCTTCTGGGAGGAAACTCCGGTAGCTCTTTCTCCGTTTCTTTGGTCGTACCACTGGCTGGCTTGCTGTGGAGACTACCCCTCCTCCGCTAAGCGTGGTAGAACCTGATTCTGATGTCCCACCACGGACAGTGCCAGGAACTGTGGAGGGGGCCCTGCTTTCGCCACACAGAGAGGCGTTACCCTGGCTGCTGTCACAGTCTGAGTTCTGGCTCAGCTCCTGCTGAGAGGCTGCTGTGGTGGAAGGACTGAGCCCTGAATCCTCCAGCTCCTCCTCCATAATACTGGTAACTCCTCCTCCGGTGATCCCCTCCTCACCAGGCTTACTGGGGCTGCTGTGGGCCACCACCAGGGGCCCTGTTCCCAAGGACAGCTGCTCGTCAAGAGGCTCCACTGAGGGCGGTCGGTCTTTAGAATGTGAAGCCCTGTAGGACATGTGTGCTGCATGGCCCCTCTCAGCGCCGTCGTTCAGCTCCAGCCACGTCTCCAGGCGGTGGACGAGGCGCCAGCCGTTACAGACAAAGTGCTCCTGGATTTCCTGTTTGAAAACCTCCACAGGATTCTGTAGAAGCTGCGTCATAGACTGGACCATCTTGATCAGGGCCATCTCATTGTAACAGCGGCTGTTCTCATACCCTTCCTGCAGACCTCGGTCACTGTCAAAGCCAGCCTCGTTATAGTAAGGCTCATTCACCAGGATGAGGCCTGCAGAGAAAATACACATGTACGAGCACAAATGAAAGATCAGCAGTTGTTGATTAATGTCTCAAACATGGCAGAGCTGAAAACCACAAGAGTAAAAGACAGACAGAAATCAAGGATTTTGATTTCATTTAAAGTGTAAAAGGTGTCAAAAATGTGCCATGTAAATAAAGCTGCCTTGGCTTGCCTGTACAGATTTCACAGATATAGATTAATATAGATTATAATTTTATCAACATGCTGATTAAACTGTAAAAATTACAAATTCAAAATAAATCATACCAACAAACACCAGCAGCATCAGAGAGGTTCTTTCACTGTGTGATGGAGTGAATCAGTGGTGTGTGTGTGTGTGTGTGTGTGTGTGTGTGTGTACCTTGTATGGAGATGAGGACTTGCAGCAGACTGGACTTGCTGGTCCACCTCTCTGTCCCCTGTGAATCACATTAACCAAAATGATCAAAACAAATCATCACAAATTCTCAGAGTGTTTTCTAATTAGAAGAAAGAGTTGACAAAGCAACATTTCTGCTGCATTTTAGCCTCAAATTAAGTAGATTCAAAGCATAACTGAACTGTCTGCAATAACGGCGCCCTGGCTCTGGAAGCATCTTTATATCCATCACACTTTCCAAGAGTCTGACATGAGGTCCTCAAATGTTTCATTGAACTAACAATCTAAAACTGAAAGTACTCAGTTTATGAAGATATATTTAAAGACAAGCAGAAAATAGAGTTCGGTCCAATCGATTTTTTGTTCACCAACTTATCAATTGATTTGGCTATTCATTCATTTGCTCTACATTACCATTATCTATTACCAAACACGACTTTTCCACTTTAACTTTTGATGACACATAAATTGGATTAAAATCCATCACTATAGACCTGCAGGTTGTCACTGTATCTTTAAACTTCAGTCAACGCCCACCTTGCCGATCCAGGTGCCGAGTAGACTGACACAGACTTTGCCGTTGTCGTAGAGGTTGGGATTGAGGCGGCCGCTGCACTGCGACAGGTAGCGAAACAGCGGCGGCACAGCAGGGTAGATGTTGGGCAGCTGGATGTCAAACAGGAACAGACCATCCTCATAGGGCGTACGAGTCGGCCCTTTGATCAGAGCGGAGAAAAGGTCCTGTGTGGGAGACAGTAAAGAAACCTTTGACTGGATGTGTTTCGACAGTGTAATGTAAAGGTCATCTGATATATAACACTGAGGTTAATGTCAGAGAACATGGTAATAAAAGAAAATGAACATCATAGTGAAGTATCTTACATTCGCTATAAATCCCAGATGCTTTCTGACAAACTGAGGATCCAACTACTTTTCTATGAAAGGCTCACAGATTAACAAAGATTCAAAATGATGTCAGAGGAATGTGTGTATGTGCTGTGTGTGTGACCTCAGTGTCATAATTTGCAGCCAAGTTATTTTTTGACCAGAAACCCACCATGCGATCTTCAAATGTTTTGACCATGATGCCGTCTGGAAGTGACGTTGCGAGCAGAGCCATTTCCTTCCTCACTGTGCTGAAGAACTTCCTTGCCTCAGCCGGTTGAAACTCCATTTTCTTGAATGAGTGGGTGTCTGAGACGGAGATGAGACAAATGTGATTCCAAAGCAATACAGAAATCAAATAACTGTACAAACACAACTCAACTTGTGTGGGAGGGAATTCATCAAGCGGAGACAGACAGATGTGATTACAGAATGGAAATGGGAGGCAGCTACTGTCACTCATAGTAATGTAGAAATTCGAATTGTGGGGTCTTTTGTTTGACGTCTGGGTGCACACGAAACAGGTCTGCTTGCTGAAACTGAAGCTTATACAAAACACGAGTGAAACCCATTTAGACAGAGACAGTCATATGCAACATGAGTGTACGGAATCTGTTTGCTGACTGTTTTTTTATGTTAACGATTTTAGGGTAAGGCAATGATTTACAATGAAAGCCAAATGTTTAAGCAATCAAAAGTTATTGTTATTTCATGTCTGTTTTTGTAAACACTGGCAATTCTGTCAGCTCTTCAGATTTTAAGGAATCCTTTTCAAACATGGTTTAGGTTTTAGGGAACGTTTTTATTTGGCACCTTAGATCTTAATAGGTTAAATAAACACTCATGTCACATCATCACATCAG